ATATTTGACACGCTAACAATATCAGCAACAACGCAAGCACGAGCAATAATACATAGCAACAATATTGAAAGCATCGAAGCATCGAGGCTTCGGCGTTATTAGCCTTGGCTGCACATAAATCCATCAGCGCTAAGCATTTTTTTGCACTTTTCCGTTTGCAATTATTTGCCTAACCATTGTTTGCCGCTGCATAAACGAGTTTTAATCATTTGATTTTAATTAAATTGAAATTATATTTGGAATTTATGGTAAATATATGCAAATGTTTCAAGTTTCAAGTTTATAGTTAAAGAAACACTTTTATTTCTACGACTAATTACAGCAAGGTTTATTCACTTGCTATATCATGAGAGAAAATTATAATTATTTCTACTTAATGACTTGCTGTAATCTAAACGCAATGGTTGGCTAGTTGGTTGGTTTAAGCGGATTGTCACCCTGGTGGCAACCAATTTTCAAGTGTGCCATTTTGATTCCACAACTCGTGCTACCTACAGCCATCTGTAGCTGCGGCGGATTTAATGAATTTCAGTACGTCGTACAGAGAGAGAGAGAGAGAGAGAGAGAGACAGCTGCACTCAGAAATACTCTGCAGAAATGGTTTGCCGAGTGTATTTAGCCTCATCCTTGCTAGGACTGTGCACTCGCACAGGAAGTTTTCGACTGTCGCTTTTGAGCTCGGGTCATTACCATTGCGAGAAGATATTCAACTGCGTTCTCGCCGGTACATTTTCTTTGATGTACTTCACTTGCTTCCCAATTGCAAAGGTGTTGGCCTAGTAAACGCTTGCATAGTCTGGTAGGCGAAACCAAACCCGCATTGCACATTTGACCCGTCCGTAAAGACAGCTTCGTGCAGGGTTTGTGGTGAATCTAGGTAATTAAGGAAGCTATACCCAGAAATATATTTTAAGCTGTACCACACAAAAAGTTATTAATTTGTTGCTTTTGACTCGCCACGCAGATATATTGTTTGGTAAAAGAAGATCCTTTGTTTTGACCTCGTTCATCCCCAAACCCCCCGCACTTTGCATTTCGGTTCAATATCAGTTGAGCATAGAAAATCGCAGGGTGCTCCTTATGTAGTTCCGTAAGCAGCTTATGTTCACTCTTAAGAGTTTCCGTGGAACAATGTATTTCAGAAAATTGAAGAGAAACCCTCCGAGATGTTTAAATCTTAGCTTCGCAAAAGAGGTAGTGTTGAATATATAAGACATACTTACTGCATGAATTCATATTTGGCATAACTAATTCAGAACCCCACAGTTGTCGCTTAGTAAGCAGGACAAAAGTACCTTTCAACTTGTATGCCGAGGTTTGCGCCCAGAGTTAGCTGAGCTTACTAAAAGCCCATAGGTACTCCAGTGCTCTCCCTTTCATTCGTGATGGTTTACAGTTTCCCGCAATATCGCTGTGCCCCTTAACCTAAATCAGTCTAGTCTAGTTTGGAAATCATCCGAGGCAATAGAGTGAGGTAGCTGGTAATCCTAGAACAATTTCGACCTTACCATCGCCGATTGCAGGATACTGATCGTCGCTTGGCTGTCAGAGAAAATATTTACCTCTCTAAACGTTATTGCATAGGTGCGCAACCGATCGGCTGCTTCTTTGATGGCAACTAACTCTGCTTAGAATACGCCACACAATTCCGTAAACCTAAATTTAATATCTAAGAGTAGTTCCTTATAGAAGACAGCTAGCTCCTCCAACTCTGCTATCAAGCTTAGACCCAGAGAGGCAGAACGGGTCGCAGCAGCTTTGCCTAAAATGTCTACTTCTACGATGCCTGGCATTACGTTTAAATCCAGCGTTGAAGTGGCGCGAAGTGACCCTTTTAGTTCAATTAGGGCAGATCTTTCCTCCCTTTCCATGCGCTTAGCCAGTGAGTTCCACTAAATGGGTTAATGCAGCCACAAGATAACAGCAGTAAAGGTCAACGGATGCCTTCCTCCCTCGCTCTTCGATATTTGATCCATACTTAAGCAATTTGTCAAGAATTACTCCCAAGTATTTGACTTACTCAGAAAGCACAAGGGAGAGACAACGCGCCCTTTCGGGGTGTCCCTACACACAGTATATCCCTACTGGGAACACACACTCTCACATTCAGCAATGGCAGTTCTCTCCCAGAGCATGCGTCTTATAGGTTGGTCTCAACTACGAGGTTGCATAGCCATTAAAGGCCATCTCAATATCCAACCGTGAAGTATTTGCCTTCCAATCGCTCTTCTTTAATCTTAAGAACAGAATTCATGGCGGTTTCCACGAACCTACTTTTCATATAAGCTTAATCTCTACTTAGAAATCCAGTTTATTGCATACTGATCAATTAGCAGCTCAAAGTCTGTAATAGGAAGGAAAAGAGACCTAAAATCCTTTCGGGATACGTAAGAGAATATTCTTGCTTTGGGGATAAAAGTTGCCCTCACCTTTCTCAAGGGGACTTAGCAGCTATCTATGCAGCCCGCGTGGATAGGCGTCAGCCGTCAAATTTGACTGCTACGCCGATTTTTCAATTGAGCAGCTATTATGCCGTCAGGTCACGCTGACTTCAAAGGCTTGAAAGAGTTGAGTGCCCAAAACTGGCGGCATTTCTCCAATAGCTCACCAGAAAAAACAGAACAGCCATGCGATTGGGTCCTGAATGAGTTAGTTGTAAGTTCTGCAGGTCAAATTATATTCGCCAACACTGAATTAGAGAGATCACAGAAAGCCGGGAAATCAAAAATCAGGCCCTTATCCATCCTCCTCCGGTGGGTATTTTCTAAGAATTCCAATTTAGCAAGTGTCTGGTCTATGATGGATTTAGCAGATCCCCATCTCTCGACGGAAAAAAATTACGCTCTAGAAATCTCGGATGAATAATACGCGGAAATCCGCAAAGGAGGGAGGCAATTGGCGAAGCTTTTTGCTGTCACACAAACCGACTAGCGGTTATTAATAGTGTCAAATAAGAAAAAGAATCCGTATTGGTAACGAAAAACAAATTTTTTAACAGTGGGCGCATTCTGCGTAGAAGTTGGTTCCTGTTTCTTACTACCTCCTCGACATCATATTTGTGTAAATGACTAAGCTGGTAAAGCATCGGCGCTGGAAGGTTGGATACTTTTGAGCAGCACTATTTCTTTCAGGCAGCCTTTACGGAATTGACGTCTTTCACAAGTAGGTCAAAAGTGATCAAAAAGTATAGGCCTCTTTCGAATGCAGTAAGTAGTCAGCTTCGTCAAGATTTAGTTTGGTCATCGCAAGATTGCCGGGAACGAAGCTGTAGACAAGTTAGCCAGTGAGGATTCCACATTGCCGTCGATCGGGGATCGGATCTCACCACAATTGTAACAATATACATATAGAGAAATCTTAGATGGCGAGTGACGATATAACTAATTAATTTTTCCCGATTGAGAGTTTTGATCTGAAACCAATTAAAACAACACTTTTTATAAGCACATACATACATATATTTACACCTGCATACATGACTAAGTAGTTTCATGCCCTCGCCGTATTTTATCAAAATTGAACCTGAACTTCAAAAGCCGCAGGCGAACTATTACCGCTAATTTTGTCATAATCCAAACAATTTCACTGCAACTTCAATTAAGATACGAAATTGAATGTCAAGGAAATTATGCAATTATTTTACTTTTTTTGCATGATTTATGGGGGAATGCGGATATCCTAAAAAAATTTGTAGAAAATTCCAATTATAGATTAACTTTTGCGGCAACAAACAGTGTGGCTAAGTACCACCATTAAATCAACCAAAACCACAAAAACCAAAGCAAAAGCAGTTTACAGGGAGCAGCGTAGTGGAGAAATACACAAAAATGTATGAATTTAGGAAAGTGGCTGTTAAGTGTTAAAACCACAAACTAAAGCACGACATTAAGGAAGTCAAACGCTGTCAATGCGAAGTTTAGAAAAAGTCATTTGTGTGTATGTATAATAACGGCGACGATTAGAGCATACAAATTAAATTATATAGATTCGGGCGATAGTACTGCTGCAAGGTACCACAATGCATACAAACAGAAATTGTTGGCGAGGTATCGCTGGCTGTTTTAATGGTATGTGGACTGGGAGCACGCATATAATTTGTAAAATGATTGCTTAGCCGATAGGTACCTAATTATGGCAAATGGAGTTAGCTACTCAAGCATAACTTGCTTTACTTAGTGCTTGGTTTTATTGCTGGCAGAAATTTGTATGTAAAAATTTCGAATGCGCTTTGATTTCAAATTCGCGACTACTGATCGTAAGCAAATTGACGGGTGGTGAGTTTCGAAATCAAAGGAAGTCAAATGTGTGGAGGTTTCGACGTTGACTACTTGCTTTAATTTATGCAAAAAAATATGCATATAGTTCTAACTTCCTAGTTTAAGTCAATGCTGTTCATGACTAATTCCAGTGATTTTATGTTCTCAATCTAAGTATAAGTAGCTTTTAGTGTGCTACCACATATGAAATATATTAGGGTGTACCACTTGCCATACAAAAAAAAACAACATCGGTACTGTTCTTCCATCGGAAATACAAAATGTTTTATATTTCAAGACGTGCGCCAAAATATGTCGAGAAAATACTTCCAAAAATCACGTTTTTATAAATAAAATTAGTTTTTCTAAACAGTCGCCTCGGATGATAGTACAGTTTAAGCTTAAAATTTCTGCATAAAAATGTAGAAACGTTTTAGGAATGGCTTCAACATAATGAGATTTTTGGAGGTTTTTCCAAAAAACGGTCTAGCTCTAGTAAATCTTAATATGTTTCTAAAATGTTTTGGCAAAAGTCTTAAAATATAAAAAATTTTATAACTGCGTTGGAGAAAACGCAATTTTATTTATTTTTTTTTTTGTTGGCGGTGCACCCTAATGTACACAGAACAATTATAAAATTCTTGCGCTTGATCACGTTGCGCATGCCATACCAATTACTAGTAATAACAATTTGTTCTCAATTAATACTAGCCACCTTCATTCCATTCCTTTTCACTTTTACAGACCCAACAATGATCCGGCAACTACAAATGTTTAACACTCCAATCAACACGCTACTCGCTTGCTTGCTTGTGTGCTGGTTAGCGCGCGCACATGCCGCCGAAAAATGGTCACGCCAACTAGAACCGACTTCGCCAGGCGTATCGGACTCTTTCGATTGGGTGCCGGTGGCACAGCCAGTCGATAGTTCTACTGCCAAAGATCGGTCCGCAAATGCACGTGTGCTCACCTACTCACAGGCTTACCCACCGAATGGCCGTTTCGGTGATCTGCCCAAACCGCATAATCCGCCCGTGTCTCAGCAGCAGCCATTCGATTTTCCCTATCAGTTTCAACGTTTTGCCAATCAACCACCACCACGTTCACAAGTCGGTTCACCTTTCGGCGCGCCACCACTAAAGGCTGCTGCCCCTGCTGCTTCGTCATTACAAAGCGGTGAACCAACTTCGCAGTCATTCTTCAAATTCGAAATGCCCTTCCGCACAGAGGGTGGCAGTCATGGTGCATCGGGCTCTCCCGGCTCATTGCAGACTGGCTACCAGATTCAGCATATACTCGGTGGAGGCGCGCAAGCCACGCTCTTTAGCTCACCGCTGTTCAATCAGCAACCCGTTTTTCCACCAGAATTCCATCCCATACCACAGAAGCCGCTACAACAGACTTTACAAAAACCACTGCCGCAACAGAATTACATCGAAGATAGTTTCCCGAGCAAGAACGTCTACCGCGAATCGAAACCTAATCCAACGCAACAATCTCTGCAAAGCGTCACACCACAAGTTTTCCCTGTAGAACAACAAGTTGATCAATTTTTTGATTTGAATAAGCCGTCATCTTTCAATGCGCAGTTGCCGTTCCAGCATACTGATAGCGCACCAACAGCACCCTACCAGCAGTCGGGTAGCGCACCGACAGCACCTGCTTCGTTGCCTACAAGTAATGGTGGCAGCCAACAAGATGTACAATTGCTCTATGTGCCATACGATACGCTCTTTAATCAACAGAAGCCTGAGTCACAAGGTTTCGAATTGAATAAGTATAATGTCAACGCGGGCCTACCAACTGTCAATCCCTTCCAAATCAATCAGTTTTACACGCAAGACTCACTCGATTCGCTAGATCAGCAGAACTACTTCGCCAGCAGCATCACTACCAGCACAAGCCGTCCGAAGACGACAACGTTGAAGCCAACCACAATCTTCCAGAATTACGCTAATCAACAACCAACTACGCCACGTCCCAAGCCAAAGGCACATCAGCCACCACTTGCCATGTTTTTGGTGCGCAACTCTGTGCGTCCCACGCAAACGGATGTGGTGTCTGCTTTACGTCATTCCAACACCATCGCAGTCATTGATGCACCTACGAAGAAGATACCCGAAATATTTGTTGGTCCTGCTGGTATGTCTACACCAGATGGCTATGTGAAATTCGATCTGCCCTACTTGTCTCAATTGGCACAGACACGCGAGCTGCGTGAGATTCCGTTCTTCGTAGCGCCTTTGAGCTATCGCACACCAAGTGGTTTCAATAAGATCCTGCTACCAGAACCGCATGTGGGTTCAATTGTTATAAATCTCGCCAAGAGCAGCAGCGCTCCACAAGCGGTTCTTAGCCAGCCGGCTAAGCCAAGTGCTGTTTACAGTCAAAATGATATTAGTCAGTATCAGTCACCACCGCCCACACAGCGCGTGCGTCCACACCGCGTGAAGCAGCCATCTGCCACAAAGGACTACTATCCCGCGGCGGTACTCAATGAGCCTGTGCACAAAAACCGCGATCAGTATGAGATCACGACTCAGCGCTCAACACTTCCACCGACACGCGGCAACAAGTTCAATTACTTCTATAATCAAGACGCTATCCATGAGGTGAGCTCTCCAAAGGTAACCAAACACGATCGGCCGAAGAAAAAGCGTCCACAAAACGTGCAACAACAACCAATTGAGCAGCCCGCTTTCCCACAAACCATCAATAATCCTTACGCCCAATTCCAGCCTGCGCCTAACCAAATAACCAATGATGATATCTACAAAGTTCAGTCGAGCCGACCTTCACCTAGTACATCTCCATCGACTAGCACTACAACTACAACCACTAGCACTACTTCTACAACAGCTGCGCCGGCGCAAACATTCTACTCATTCAATCCCAATGGGCAAGTTGAGTTCCAGAGTGCAAACGGACCCCTCTACTCTTTTGACACCATACCAAAGGAGCCGGTTGAGGAGCAAGCTCCACGCTTCACCACTCGCCCGCCCAGCAGCACTTCGCCCGAGGAAGAGTACCACATGAAGCAATATTATCGTCAGCAAGAAGCTTTCCGCAATCGTCCACAAATCGTTAGTCCCACTAACCCACCCTTCGAACAGGTGCAATACACGCCTGTCGACTTGGACTACGGGCGTGATGTCAATGCTCCTTCAACGACTCATAAGACCACATCGCCTACCAAACAACGTGTTACTTTCTATTCACCTTCCCAACCTGGCAGCTCTGCACCGGAAGATGCATACAACGTCGTACAGCAACCCGATTTTGCAGAGCTACAACAAGAGAAGGTTATTGAGGGTGAATTGAAACCGCAGCGTAAGCAACCTTCAAACCATCGACCTTTGTACAATCAGAACGAGATACCCGATAGCACTGTGGAATATGACCCCAATCCTTACCATGTGCCTTCAGAACTGCCACCACTCACACCAAATTTGCCAGGCCTAGTGAATAATTTGCAAGAGAAGGACAAACAAAATGCAATAGGAGAACTTGCCACTACTACACCCAGTGAGCCAGAGAAGGAGCTGCCTACACGTCCAACAAGACGCCCCATCAATCGTGTGCGCAAACCTCTTGTGTCCAAAGTTACATCCTCTGTTTCTTACTCTGAAACGGAAACCTCTACACGCCGTCCTATACAACGTGTTCGCCGTCCGTTTGGCGCGCGTGCGACAGCTAGCACTCCAGCATCTCCCGATGGTGAAGAAGAAGCCACTTCGACCACACGTCGTCCATCTTCAGCGGCACGCAACCCACTGATACGCAATCCCAACCGCATCCGTTACCAACCGACTCCAGAAGAACGTCAGTCGCTGCGCACTAAGCAGCGTAAGAAGTATGGCAACTCCGGAAAAGATGAAGATTTGGACTACCAACGCGATGTGTTGAAACAAAATTACCCAGTCATTAAACCGCTATCGTCACGCACGCCATCCAGCCCTACAGCGATACCCAGCTCATATGCTACGAACAGCGGCTCTGAGGCACCAACCTCTGAGACACAACAAGTTTACACAGTCACCCCCAGCAACACCGTAGGCACAAATGAACAGACCTTCCCAGCCGGCATGTTGGAGCCAATGCAAATCGCTCAGCAGTATAGTCAGTATACAAAGGACAATTTCGGGCCAGGATACTTCCCTAATCAGGAAGATTTGGGTCCCACGGAACCAATCATTCGCAACGAAATCAATCCTGTCTTCACCACTTTACCAACCACTACACCTACTCCAACCACAACAACAACAAGTGAAGAGCCCCAAGTAACCACAAGACGTTCACCATTTATACGCAGAAATTATCCACGGTTACGCACCACCACCACCGAGGCACCGACTACCACTACACAAGAGGCAGAGACAAAAACCTCGGTGAGTAACTAGGGAAGACGGCAGTAGAGAGCTAGGCTACATTTACTAATATTTCATTTCACTCACAGCTACGTCCACGCCTACCGCCGCGGAAGGTTATCAAGGTACGCACGCGTACGCGCCGCCCAGTCTCATCAACGACAAACCCAGAAGAGGAAGCCGAAGTCGAAGAGCCAAAGAGTAACGTACGCAAAATAAATCGTTTTAATCACGATTTATACGAAAATGACGTAGGTTTTGATAAGTTAGGCTTGAAAGCAGAAGATTTATGATTTTTTCTTTTTTTTTCAAGGCAACACCACCACAAAGACGTCGCCACCGTCCTAGCTTCCAGCTGGATGGTCAAGAGTCGCAATGGTCCCCAGCATTGAAATTCGGCAACAATCATCACTTCAAACCAACGAACCCGAAGGAGAAGTCTAAGGAGAATGAGCACAAATTCGATGAGGAACCAGAAATTGTAACGATCGGACCTGAAGATGATAAAAAATCGGATAATTATGAAGTGAATGTATCCGCCAGCTTTGGTGAAGCCAAACCCACACTTAAGGCACCCAATTTGAAGTAAGTCATAGCCAGTTTATTATAAGTGTTTATTATAAGTATTACTTGACAATCGGTAAATAATTGCTCCAAAATCTATTTCCCAGGCCCGAGAAATCCTTTGCCGAACTTCTGGAGGAAGTCATGGGCAAGGCGCCAGAGGAAAAACCGCTCGAATCTGTTGAAGAAACTAGCACGCGCACCACAGACGGCACATTCTTCGAATCGCAAAAGACAACAATATTTAATCGCATCAATAGACGTAACAAATTCAAGAAGCTCCATTTGCCAACAACGCAAAACAACGAAAGCTTTGAGACCGCCGAATCACAAAGTCTTGGTTCCCAACTTTACAACTCACTACATGGAAATGAAAAGTCTACAGATGAAATAGTCAACGAACTCAAAACGACTACACCACTCACACCGGCGCCCGGCGGCAAGATCACAACAACCACGCTAACAACAACAACTGCTAGCCCGTCCAGCACCGTGTACACCGAAGAGCCAACAACGCCCGATCAATTAGAAGTCACCTCCTATGCAACAACACTAGCCATGGATGAAGCTCTAGATAAAACGACAATCGCGCCAGCGGAAAATGAAGCCGAAAGCGTCACAGCGGAGAGCGCCACACGACGCATGGACGAAGCAGTGGATGATCTGGAATCACAGCCAAGCATATTCTCTGAAGTCAAGCGGCAACTTCATGATCTCTTCGCAATCGATGAATCCGAAGATCATGCGGTGACTGCTGCCTTGGCTGCAGTTGGCAAGAGACGTCAAGAATATATGAATATCAAACGAACAAAGCCGGATACAACCACACAAGCAATGAATGTGGCAGCCGTAGCGGCCGCAACAACAGTGCCAACGCCCTCAGTGGCAGCTGAGACGGCAGCAGCTGATAAGAAGCCATTACAGAAGAGCTTGATGGATCAGGTCGTATATGCGACATCCACATCGACGAAAGTGACATCTGAAACAGAGATTTGTTATCGCGGACGGTGTATACGATCGGAAGATTTGCCGTCGAATCATAAATTGCAATAATAGGTATAGAAGTAAAGCAGAAGCTTAAGAATTTAGTATGTTTATTTGTACATTTCGAGACTTGCAACGCGGCGGAAATAGTGAAAGTGATTTGCATTCTAAGAGATTGGCATAACCGTATACTAAATTCATATGCAAGTTCGTGTTCGAAGAGTAGATTGTGATAATAAAAAAAAAGAAATGGGAGATGAAAAATTTTAATAATTTCAATAACTACATACATAAACTGTACTTACAGTATAAACTCTTAAAAACTAACAGAAGAGCACTGTTTATTTACCACCCTGGGTTCGTCTCTTAATCTTTAGCAAATAGTAGTTATGAATTAGCCTTCTTCTGAAATTTTCTTCATTACTAGTGTTCGCGCTCTACATACGTGTCTTTGTTAACGATTTTATTTTACATACATACATATATACATATGTACATCCATAAATAATTTTATTGTAATCACTTAGCTTTACCGAAAATCTAGTTTAGTTGAATGCAAAAACCTGTGACGCGTCCAGTTAGTTTTTGTTTCATTTATTTTAATTTTAGTGTAAGTTTGAAATTAATTGATTAATAAATACGTTCGTATTTTGCATATATTTTATAATTAACAAAGAAACTAAACGATTTACAATACGATATAGTATGTGCGTATGTATGTTTGTACATATACATATATGTATATCTTACAAGCACACTTAAAATTTTAGTATGCTGTACTTTATGGCAAATTAAGTAATCATAAGTCTGTATGTAATATACTTAGAGATCCAATAAATCTAATATAAACCTACAACTATCAGTTTCATTTGAAAAATGATAACTTTATCGCCTTATAAATTAAACTCATTGGTACATTGTTGTAGTAACAGCAGCCCCCAACTCCCGGGGTTTCGTCATCACTCATGAGTCATCTACATCCTACGACTCAGCAAGCCTGAGGCCAAGAAAGCGGCCGACGTCTGTGGGCGCAGTCCATAAGCCTTCAAGTGTCAGGGTCGTCGAGCTAGAGGTGCATGCGAAGAGGGTTGGGTATTGTGTGGACCTTACCCGCATCCTGGGCAATTGTTTGCGACTTTTGAGTGATCAATAATCTATAACCTTTGAACGGGTTTGAATTTTTCTTCGCTTTTTTTCGTGTTTCTTTATGAACCTCTGGACTTCGTCCGTCAGTTCGTATAGATGCCGTCTGACGTGCCTTGGCGAGGGCTCCTTTGCAAACAACTGTCTGTTCGGGTCTGTGATTCCTACTAAGAATTGCTTGCAGGGCATTGTGTTGTGCTCCCTAATGGGGAGCAGCTGCGCCTCGTCGTGTAAATAATATTGTGGCGACATCAGAAGACATATGGTCGCTGTCCAGAGTGCTGTATTCTGTGTGGTCTGTACCTTTATTCACTGCGTCCTACTGGTCCCCGGCGACCACACTGGCGCTGCGTAGTTTAGAACCACACGGTTTTCATCTTTGAGGAGCGCACCTATTTCAGGGTGATATCCTGACGGGAAGTTGGTGACAGGGGTATATAACCGTTAAATATTTCGACCTCGACATCGCCTTACCGGATAGCTATAATCTGACATTCTAGTATTGTATCCCTCAGGTCAATGTCTGCTTCGATGAGACGATACTGCACGGTGTGGTTCGTGATAAATGCAAGGCCACCACCATTACCTTTCTAGCGATCACGACGATGTATATGGTATCCGGCGCAATTCAGCAACGTTGAATTGCTGTGTAACTTTGTCTCTTGGACCGCAGCTATTAATATTCCATGCCGGCCCATAAAGACGATTATCTCCTCGATCTTGCTCTATAGTCCGTTAGGGTTAAATTGTAGGAGCTTCGTTTGCCTACGGAAGGTGCCGGGTGGCGAAGTGTTGCGATGGGTTGGTTGTGAAGAAACTTGAAAGATTGGGGAGATAGTCAGTGATTTTAGCGCATAGGCTGCCGATGTTTTGGCCCGTAGCCATCCTCGTACAATCATCAGCGTAGCTCACCGAGTACACTCCAGCTGGCGACGGAGGGAGTTTTTTTTATGAATACAGTCGATTTAGAAGCGACTAGTCTAGGTCGCCTTGGTAAAGAGTCGCATGACTCACCGAGTCGAATGCCTTTGAGAGGTCTTCTGCGAGTAGGACCGTTCAGACACTCGCTTATCTGTGTGGTGATGGCTTATAATACTGTGGTGATGCCGTGCATTTTTGGTATCCATGGCGGGTCTCGGCTAGTTTCAGGGGGCAGGCTGCAGAGTAGGGCTTCCATGGTTTTTGTCACTGTGAATAGAAATGAGATGGGTCTATACGAGGCTCCTGCATCCATCTGCTTCCCTGGCTTGAGAAGTGGAATGACCCTAACTGTTTTCCACATCTCGGTGATGATCTGAGTAGGATGAGATATTGTACCGCATTATTCAATATGAAAGCCGTTCCGCCTTCGGCGGTGCGAGGACTATCTCTTCGGAGAACGTTAAACTCGTCCTGATATTGAAGACTCCAGACAGAGTGGAGTTTCACTCCTAGATCGCCGCGATTGAAATTTTATTGCCCCTTATAAAACTGACTACCCCAGCAATCTTATTTTGCAATTAAGCTGCAATATCTTGATTCATTTCGGTCAGGTGTCAGTTACACCTGTGCAGCTTGCTGTGCAGGGAGTGTTTGGTTGTAGGCCGGGTTGTTCTGCCGCTGGTATTATCTCCGACGTTATCATCAGCGTTACGCGATGGTCCTTGATCGGAGTTTGTGCACCGCGACGATCCGGTCTGCGTAGAACCGACCATCTTGGAAGTGGATAGAGTAAGTGCTAGCCCCCGGCGTCTATGCATTTAAAAAAAAAATTGCTAGTCACAACTTAATTTGTCGCTACATTGGACGTATCGAAAGTGTTTGTCATTATTAATCATACAGTGCTAATAGAGGGCATCAACATAGCTTCATGACCTTGCTAAATAATAGGTCTATGAAATAGCTTAGCTCCAAATACTGTCCCTAATATATCACGCTCAAATTGCTATCTAACAAACCACCTGCCCTAATACTTAGCAGCGATGGCCCTTGCCATCGTCCTGACCGCAGTCGGGCCTACTTACTACAAGGATTGTCACTGTGTATACAAATACACAAGTGAATTTAGGATTTCTTTTTCGCACGCAGGACTGTCTGAGTATGGCTTTTGGGCTACACGGACTATAGAAAGACAGTAAATGTAGTTTACTCAAACTTTATCAGTTCTCGTCGTATGAAACCCGTTATCAGAGACCAACGGACTTATATAACAACGGGAGACCCGACATTGAAATAAACTCCTGAATACTTTGCAAGCAAATTGTTTCGAATCGGATCATCACTTAGTGAAAGTCGCACTGGTGGCTGGTGAGCTTCAAATTTTTATTGTAGACAAGAATGAGAAGAAAACACCAGCCATTCGGTGAAAGCGGCCTTCAAACAAACTATACTAGCTTTCAAAAAGGCATGTAAATTAAGTTGAAAATGTATGCACGTATTTAAAATTAGTATTAAAACCACAATTAATATTCCCTTGAAGCATATGTATATACATACATAAATATATACAATATGAACATTTATTGATTATCAAAGACACTTTATTACATTGACAAAATATTTCTTAACTCCATTTATACTTTTATTTTTCTACTTACATACTTATGCATGTTGTATGTTTATTATTACAAAAGTTGAATAAACTTACTTTGAATTATTTTAAATATGTATAGCAATATATACATACATACATAGTTAGATCAGCAATTTAGGTAAATGCACAAAAAATATATTTGAAGAAAAGTGTACTCAATTTTCTGGGTCATTACTCTAATATGAATATTTAAAATAAATTACTGTTACACTTTACGAAGATACAAGATAAACATGGATATCATATTTTATTTTATAAGTTATTTACTCCAATATTTTCATTAACCGAAGATGATTGAATTTCCAAATTTCAATCGCTTATTATATATGTACGTATGTACTTGTTTAAAGTCTGTAACGGCTTAAACTTTTGGTTTTGGATAATAGAATTTCGAGCCAGGAGTAAATGAAAGAAGTTTCGATCCCGAAAATGCTTAAGAAGTAAATCTTATAAATACTAATTCGTTAAAAAAAAGTTTCTTATCGCAAATGTCATGTGCGTCTCTTTAATTCTAATTTCAAATATAATACTACACACATATGTATGTTAAAGTACCCAAAAAGAGAAGCTATTCCTTATCACAACGATTTAAAATGTTTAGCCAGAAATAAACATGCAAATTTGTGCAAACTAAGAATATTCGTTTTATAATTTAATGCCTCCATGAATTTACGGCGCAGCACTGCGATTAAGCGGTGCATTCTCGTCATCACTTAAATCCTGTGCTTCACTGGTTATACTGCCTCCGCTTTCAGTACCAGTTGTGCGTGTTTCTGGAAAATTCCACTTCTGCGGGCTCGTACGTCCAAAGATAAGGAAGAACAGATTACCAACAAAGTAAAAGAATGCGCTCACATAAAACACAATACGCCATTGTGCTGGGTTTCTCTAAAGAAATAAACATACACATGTATTATTATACACATATACCAATACATATAAAGTAATTTGTTCAACTGACCTCATCTGTGACAATCAATCCAACTGTGAGCGGTGCAATTATGCTTATTACATTTGCCACACAGTTCGTAATACCCATCATTGTACCGGCAAAATTTGGCGCCAAATCAATATGATTCACTTGCGAGCCGAGATAGGTGGCCGCATTAGCTCCCACAGCTATGGTCAACAAAGCTATAGCCAATTTAACACTACCACCCGCATTGATGTAACCCAAGCCAATCAATGCCACCATAGGCACCCACTGACCGATGGTGTTGAAAAGCTTGCGTGACACCCACAAACGCATTGGATTGCGTGCATTTAGTACGTCTGCCAAGAAGATGAAACCATATGAGAGCAGGCACATCGCAAGGTATGGCAGCGC